TTCATAATTACCAATAAGATGCCACTTCAATTTGTACTAAAATAAGTTGTCAATTTTACACGGCTAGTCCAATACAGGCATACCTCGTTTTATTGCGCTTCGCAGATATTGCGGGGGGGGTTTTAAATACAAATTGAAGGTTTGTGGCAACCCTGCGTCGAGCAAGTCTATCGGCGCCATTATTCCAACAGCACGCGCTCACTTTCGTGTCTCTGTGTCACATTTTGGTAATTCTCGCAATGTTTTTTTAGACATAATGCTACTGGACACTTAACAGACTACAGTACAGTGTAAACATAACTTTTATATGCAGTGGGAAACCAAAAAATTTGTGTGACTCGCTTTATTGCGGTGGTCTGGAACCGAGCCCGCAATATCTCCGAGGCATACTCTTAAATTCTCGAAATGGAAGAGAATGTCACGGCTGAGATGCAAATTAAATTCATGCTTCAAGTAAAGCACCCCGCATCAACCCTGTATCCGAAGCACTAAAAATACATATTCAGATTGACGTCTTTCACACAGTCACCGACCCGATAAAACTCTGTTCCCGACCCCTAAAATCGATGCATGGTTCGCTAGAGATCGGCCTCATATTCAACCACACACTGCACGCATATACGTTCTTTCAGGACAGCGCAGACATTTTCGGTGTCAACTGCGTACTTCTTAACACTTGTAAGTCTGTTTCGGAAAACTGTGTAGGCTACTGTTTTCACCATCATCACTCAATTCATAACGCTAACCGTCGATTAGCTAATCAATAAATTCCTCACCTTTTATGGACCCCAAAGATTAATTACCGCTTTAACAACAGCCTGCCACCAGCCCCTGATAAAATGAACTTCCATAAAATTACGCTGACATTAATTTACACGGGTAGCTTGTTTGGTTGAATACAATTTTCCATAATTTCATTCAGGTTGTATAATGTATTTGCTTCTTGTTTTCATAATGAATTGGACTGTTATCATTGTACCACGGCCGCGTGTGTCTGATAAACAAATACAGCCGAATTCAAATAAATTCATGAAAGCTACACGCGTTTGCACTTTTCAATATTAACACAATAATTTGTACTTACAAGGTAATTCTGTCGGTATTACTGTTAGTGTTTGCTGAGAAGTGACATTCATGGGAACTCCTCTTTTCCCACATCCCACATGAGACACCATGACACAGCGTGTATGCGAACATGTTTTACCTCAATTCATATTTTCAAAACACTGTGTCTCTCAGACTCAAGATGTTTGTTGGTTTATCTATGGGACGATCGAACAGACTATAACTTCCTCTCCTCAGGAGTTCAAATGCTGACTACAAATTTCACGGTAGGGCCACCCATTTTGTTTTCAAGTCTTTGGAAGGTGTGTTAGAATCACAGATAAAAGGTTATTTACCTAAGTAACCCTTCATCGTTATCATTATAAATTTCCTGCGTTCTAATTCTTTCCCGGCGGGAAGTCAAAGAAACAGCCCACCAACAGCGGCCTTCCTCGTATTGAATGAAGGATTCGTTATCGTACTACGTTCCTGGGTTGGTACGGAGTACGTCTACGTCACTTCGACAAGTTTCTACTTGCATCAACCGGAATGTGGTGACGTGCCCCAGGCCCGTAATGGTAAGGCAAGCCCAGTTAACCAAGCACGCTTCGGTCCAACACTAAACACTGTTCCTCCATCTTGGTAATGTTCTAAACTCAATTCATCCCGAACAACTGTTTTGGACAAACATTTCATCGCCGTAGACCTAGACGTAAACGGTTCTCGACCGGTTTGAATACCTAGTGTCACGGGTTTGAATCCACTTCGATGTACAGATGTCAATGTCCACGTTTGTCTGTCTTGGTGTTATTCTACGTAATCGCAGGACTTGCGATGGACCGATTCCCCCATCGGATTTCTACCAAATGTTTGAGGGTTTATGGTTTCAGATGTAGTTCTGAATCCGAACCCGAACCGATCAGAGGCCGCTGGACGTAGAATATTTTCCGTGCTGTTGGTTCGGCCCATCGTCTGTTGCGGCCAAGCGGTTAGCAATCCTGCTTTATATTCCGGAGATAACGGGTTCGATCTTGGCCTAAACACAGGCTATCCTGGCACGTTTTCGTGATTTTCCTCAGTTCCTGCAAGATCACGCTGGCACATACACACAAACTGGTTCATCATCGATAGTTTTACTGAACATGTGTTACGTTTCATTTTCATATGCCATAGGGCAAAGATTTCTATGCAATTACATATTTATGGCCATATATATGGCAAGGCCGTGGTCTAGGCAACACGGAGTTTTACTCCGGGGGCATCCCAACAATTACTCCATTCACACACACACACACACACAGAAGAAGGCAATGGCAAACCACTTCTGGATCATCTGCCAAGAACGTATATGAACAGGTCCCAGTCCGAGAAAAGGATGGAAGGATCCTGTTCATATGGACCTGTCGTCAGACAGAACACTAAAAAAAAAACTTTCGTACTCTGTTTTCGTGTAGCGAAACTTAGTGGTGTGACCTCACGTATGTTTGACAAGTTAGTGTGTGTCGGTGAACAAATTTTCGGAACACTGTCCTAACTCTGTACCTTTCTTATTCGGTCGCACCAATAAACATCACATAAATGTTCAACACAAACGTTCGGTCTAAAGAAGACGACTAAAAACGGTTCGTACCTGTCTCTAACAGCAAGAAAGACGTTGACACAAAAAATGCACGAATACATTAATGCCCCATCAAAACTATCCGCATCACTTACTAAGAAAAGTTTATCAACAGCAATGTTTGGTACACAATTTACCAGCTGCACAATAACATTACTGAAAATGCATATTCAGTCAATGAAAACTGTTCTTTTATTCAAATATTTTACAATGTATATTCCTAAAACACACACGTGACCCATCTATGTTGCAAGGTTGGTACCATTACTTAACGTATGAAAATTACAGAATTAAGTAAAAAAATTCATATTGTGAGTAAATGGAGACACGTATTTAGGCGTACAACTCATCCTAAAGATACGTAGTTTCTTTGGTAACAACAATGCACGCAAGCTGACCATTGTTGTCGGTACATATTGACACATTGTTGTGTTACACATTTTTCTGTCGATTTTTCGTAACGCTTTTTTGCGGAATGACACTGACCCTTTCATAGAGACGTATTTACGTCAAAAAAACCAAGAGTACGTTTACGGGCGGGTTACCAAAACAACCAGTTTGACTGTGTTTGTAACAATTCTGCCTACTTTTCTAAACGTACACTACCTCACTATTGGCAAACAATCTTGTACCATGTAATTCTGTGGATGCCCCATTAATTTGAAGGGGCCATTTATGTACGAGTTTATCCGACTAGTGATCGTTAACTGTTGACAATGGGGCAGACGCTTGGGTTTCGCTAGCCATATCAAATTTATATGACACAAACAGGATATTATCAAAATTGTTAATTTTCGAAAATATGAAATCAGTGTACGAAATATAATGCATCAATTTTAGATAACAATGTCACGACGAATTCTTGGTTTAAAAATTGTAATTTCTTTCCATTAATGTTTACCAAAAGACACGAAAATAGATCATAATTAATCACACCTGGTACAAATTTACGCCAAATGTTACGTACTTGGACTAAAACATTTCTGAATAAATTATTATAATAATACATCTTAACTCACTTGATAACCATTTTGGAGTGATGTTCCCGAGATGGGGATGATGGGTTATCACACGAAATTCTGACTGCTACGTTGAACCACTACACACACACACACACACACACAATTACGATAAACAGCAATTAATTTTAAAAAAAAATTAACGCTCGCGCATAAATAATAGAACGCAATATTCCATGTTTTCTGCACACGTTTCGTCTATCTGCCTTTGTATAATATTGTTTTATAAATTGAGAACAAAGATAAGGAATTCACACGACGTAAACAACAGACGTCACAGCATATATTTATACACGAACCAAATCAAAGCTGGAGACGCTTCTAACACAAAGACTGCCACAGCATTGACGGTTAGACAACGACGAAGAGCCAAACAACACAGGCAGGACGTGACGCTAAGAACGCAGGGTACAAGCGCACCCAAATGACGACTAGTCCGACATCTAGCGTACGAGCAATACACTAGCTGTAAATGTAAACATGAAGTGGGGAGCAGAAATCGAGAAGGGGTCACAACCCAATTGGGGCTGAATGGCCCGGAGAAGAATAGGCAAGTTTCGAAAATACGTAAGAAATTCTGATGATAGTCCTAAACTTACCCTTAACAGCATTTTTCCAGTGTCAATAAGAAACCAGAGCTCTGAGAACGGCAGTCATGACAGCGTACTACGAGGTCATCCATCAAGCCAGTCTTGTCGGGTCATTTAACCTACGAACATGCACACACTTGTTCACGACCGTCATTTCCGTTTCAGCACTAAAAGCAGACGAAACTGGCAGGTGAAAGTCAACAGTCTAACAAAACTGAACTTCCCGATAACGAACTGTAAGTTTAGGAGGAATATTATCAAATCCCCAAACAATCACACCACAATACTACGGTATTTTAATAATGATAATATATCAATGCTGTGTCGTAAGCTGTAGAAAAACTTGTCTTATATTCATCCGATTTCAGTGGTCCGGCAGTACACTATCGGCAAAATATATCTTTACAGACACATCATTCGTGGAGGATTATATTCGCACCTCACTCGACGGTAAAATTTCATAGAAAATACCAATTCATCCCGCTAAATGTAAAGATTTAGTCTGGATTAATACATTCGTGGACTGTAAACAATCAAGTAAGTCGGCCTCCCACACACACAAAATATATCGGAGCCGAAAATCAACAAAGAATGCACGATTCTAGTTTCAAAATCTCAAGCGACAAAGATGAGTACACCCACTTCAGAAAACATGTGCACGGTATGAACACGTGTCCATCTACAGATGCTTCTGAAAGCAGTGAGTCTGCATACTCATGTTTCGTATCACAACTCAGCGTAATTTAATATTATATCAGCACTACTGCCATAATAGTCCTCAATACTTATTATTACAGGCTATGTCAGTCATACATCGCATCATTTCCTGTAAAACTGAGTCTGAATTTCACACGTGTTAATACACAATTTAATGTAACACTATTCTGTAAATACTTTAATATAAACACACAATCATTTTGCCAGAAATTTTGAGGCGAGAAAAAAAAATTCAACATTTTTTCCGATATATAATTCTCTAAGTCAGTCAGCTTTTGTGTGGATTATGAAAGCTGTAACTATCGGCAACATTACTTAAAGTATTTTGAAACTAAAGAAGTACCCACGTCATATTCTATGTCTGTTTCCCATACGATCCCCTCTAAATGCCAGAGTACCGATACGAGATCTTAAAATTACTTGTTTACATTACGTTCAATTATTTTTCCTCAATTTATGCAATCACTACTTTAATCCAGAACAACCCAATACAACTTTTACGTAACACATAAGCTGCACATTTTATATCAAATCTAAAACTTCTTGACGATGGTGAAGAGTCATTTGAATAAAAATTTCCTTAGATATTATCCATCGTCTAATAAATATAAAACGTAGCTCTATCTAGTGGGCCCAACTGTGTAGGAACCTGAAGACGGAGATAGAGTCCCATCTCCGAAACGTCGTTTTACGTTTTATATTTATTAGACGATGGATAATATCCAAGGAAATTTTTATTCAAATGCACATTTTATGTTAGTTTTTACGGACTGTCTTAAAATTTTGGTTAGTAGGCAGTTTAAATGTATCCAGTATATCTACGTTTTCCAGCAGTTGACCTACGTGGGGAACGTAATCTAGGGCTCCATTGGGCAGAATTTTGTGACATGATAATGTTTCATAAAATTAGCGATTCCTAAGCACTTATTCAAAAATTGAGAGCAAGAGTGGGCTAACCCACACGTTATCAAAACCGAGAAAAATAGAGATAAACTTCAATACAACTTCTGCAAATCCATTTTTTAAGGCACAGATTTAAAGTAAACAAACCACTCGTTCATTACAGATTTCAAACTTCGTGCGTTAGCCCACTGTTGCTGTCAGGTATTCAGTTTATTAATTTATATTATAAAAAACTTATCCATTCCAACTCAAACTTTCCACACGATATTTTTCTAGATTATTGCTAGTAGTAAGTTTAAGGCATTACAACAAGACGCAGACTGCAAACTACGTAGCTCATGACATAAAAGTTCCCAGTTAAATAGGACCAAAACATGTATTAGGCAGAACGAATGAAAACAAGGCCCATAAAATGGCTCACAGAGGAAACAGACTCAGAACTTGGTGCAGATGGTGAAACCAATTTGACTTCTGAACAAGAAATACAAGTATCTAGCCAACAACGTCTAACGTACAAACATTTCAAACACGCTCATGAAGAAAATTCATGTTCAGATCCATATCATACACTGTCACTTGATATTGCAATGAAATTCAGTTAGCGAGAAGTCAAAACCACTGATTCCCTCCCATTACATCGCATATCGCACAGCCGTAGCCTATTTTATTATCACGACTTATTTTCGTTATAGACGATCTCGATGTCAACCCAAAATAATCGTCTGTACTTGATATGTGTGTCAGAATAAATTAATTCGAACATGCAATATCAAAGGCGAGAGTTTCCTGCATTTAATTCTAAATTTCTTGGACAACCCTTCCGTTTTATTTTACATGTAACGACATATTCATTTTCTGGACGTCATTTAAGGCCCCGGGGGAGACTTACAATTATCAACTCCTGCAATAATAAAACAAAGGTTTGTGCTAGCCCCTCCCTTAATCATAACAGTTTAAGTAAAATAAGGAGACACTCGCATTTCTTCACTGTACACAAGTCACTCAGACATACAAATTAAGTCACTTACTTAAAGGCAACGCAGAGCTCCATTTCCATACAGTCCAAGATGTCACACCGAACAGGCCTCATGGCGATGGTGTTCTGAACACGCCGAGGAGAATTTAACATGTGAAGGGTTTGTCAAAATGAGGGTGACGCATACGGAACGGCAGGAATATACTCATCCCCCACTACCCATGACACGAGTCACATGTATTCAGCAAGTTCGAACATGCAACTGAATACACAGTTCCTATTTCGCAAGAGCAAAAGTTAATTACTATCAGAGGAACGTGATTTGACGGTCAGTGTGGTATTCCAGAACATAAAACGTCAAACCACATTAAAATAAATGTAGCCCGAATTAGTCGCGGACTATAGTATGGAGATGATGAATCCGACGGCTTTACCCCCACCCCTAAATTCCAACTGATCCAACGAGATTCTTTTCCATGACACAACTATCGCGTTGTAAGAGAAAAGGCAGCACATGATAAGACTATAAGCCTATCGCCTGATAACAGTGCAAGAATTTCACCAGCGCCATTACTGCGCTCAAAACATCGATCGTAAGCCTATACGTCCTTTCACATGGCTTACGAAGAAGATTTATGACTCAACGTTGTTCAAATTCTGAGTCACCATATAACAATGCAACGGTTTTCAAATACAGAATCGTCTAGATCTAGACTGTGACGTCGTCTGCCAACGTTTCGGAGGAACATACTGCCTCCATCTGTAGTCCTGAAGAACACCACTGACATTCACAATGCTTTATTCCAGTTACACTTATCTGCACTTTGCACACGTCATCAGGAACGATTATAACGAAAATAGTCTACTCAGACGCTTGTAAATGCTAACGATGTATATTTCTTGAAAATACATATAATAACGATAAATAATACGATCAAATTGAAGGTGCTGACATGGATCAAAAATGCATACAAAATGTTGGTTGTACTCAGAATACGTAGGAGAATGTGGGAGGATAATATTAAAATGGATGTTTTGAAACACAGTTGGAGAATGTGGACAGGACAAATCTAACTCAGGATGGAGGCCAGTCTTGTGAGTACTGTAATGAACCTTTGGCTTTGGATAAATGGTAAGGAATTTTTTATCTAGCTGAACACAGTATTAACTTCTCAAGGAGGACTTTGTTTCATGAAGTTAGTTCAGCTGGTCTCCTTACCGTTTATGGATCCAAAAAGTACACTACCATATTCACAAAATTACGCCACTGGAGCCTACACTAAACCAGCGGAATCCATTCTACACCTTCTCTAATATTGTCCTAACATCAACATTTATGATTCACAAGTGGTTTCTTCTTTTTAGGCCATCCACATAAAATTGTGTATGCACGTATTTCCTCCATGCCCTTCCCACCTCATTTTATTCAATTAATCACAAACTGTGATGCTTCATCAGTTTAACAGATGAATATGAATCATATATTAGTACTAAGGAAGTTGAAATGGCTGGGCACATTGTCCAAAATATGTTCCACCTCCATCAAGTAAATAAGCAGACCTTTTGTCACATATTCACTTTCAAACTTACTTTTACATTACAACTGGGTCCTTGACTACTATTCAATGTGTATTGGATAAAAACGTAAAATATATAAAAGAAATGTACTCTCAAATGTATCTGCTGAGAACTTTTGTTTCATATATGCTACTAAGGTCAGCTGTATTCTTACAAGTTACAAACTGGATGTTACACATTACTAATAAATGCACAGAAGAACATGCAAAACATATTTTACAAGGATAAACCAATTTAAACAAATTCTGGCAAACTAATATATATATATATACCTACACACACACTACAAAGCTTTCATTATACAGCTACAAAGTTGGTTATGCCATTGCAATTCGAATTTGTAACACCTGTGAATTACCAAAGAGTCAATGTATATGAAGTCTTAAAATAAATAATTACTTAAGTGCTTATACACTGTATCCACACTACAACTAGATTTGTTTTTATAATTAATAGCATACTATTGATTAGGAAACTGCTGTGTCACAAATAGCATGAATAGCGGCAAGGTTAAATTTATCTTATACCTTACCAATTTACAATTGATTAAAAACAATATTTGCCTATAAAATGCATCTAAAAGCAAAAATACTGTACACAAATTACTTGTCAATGCAAAAACCATAACATAACATAATCTAAATCCAGCATCTTAATAAGTTTCGAATTGTGTTACTTACAAAGTATGTAAGAGTGGCATTCTTCACAATTTCCCTTCACCTGTCACTATTCTTAGTATTAAAACCAGAAAATACATATTTCAGACATATAACGATCATCATTCACGATATCCAAACACAACAAATCCGTAGCCTTCCATTTAATTTTGACGTTGTGTGTATTATTTTATTCCATTTTATCCGGCAGTCTGAGAACATAGCAGGGGGCAGTGCAATTGGAATCGATTCTACTGCCTCTGCCGCATGCCATTTTTGTTTCAGTCATCGAAATAATTCATTTTGTTCATGTGCTTGCAGATGGCGCAGATGACCAAGATCGGTTTGTGCTGCCATCTTTCAGCATACAATACAACAAAAACCACAAGCTGCTAGACATGTGGGAAAATGCAATCTTACTGGAAAAGACTTTAAAAAATTCTGCAGTTAATATTAAATCACATTTTTCGTCTATCAAGTAAAAATTGTCACTTATAGGTTGTCTTCAACAAAGGGTCTTGTAACTTTTGTCTGCTATCAAGTTAAATTGTTTAATATATTTGAAAATTCTGGAAAGTAGGAAGTAGAACAAATGGAGTCTAAAATTCGTGGATTTTCAACACACTTTAAGCCAAAATTTGCTCTAAATCACAACTTTCAAAAATTCGGATTCTGCCTCAAAGGAAACTTCATGCATCTTTCTCCATTATAAAGATCATTACTTAATGCTGTTTGGGGACAGAATCAGTCTATTTTGAGAATCATATGAACCTAAAAACATGCAATGTAGGCAAAATGCAGTTATTGTTTATTAATGCAGGTAAGCTTTAGTGAGTTAGGCAAATAAAGAAATCATCGTGTTTGAAGCTACAACCACATTTACTTGTTTAGACAATGACTCAAGAATCCTAGCAAACTTTTTGCAGAAAAAGAAAAAACAATATTGGAAAACTACATATAAGTTAATAATTTATTATTAATAAGGAGATGAATTATATTTGTAAAAGTAAGATATTTCATGAACAAGATTGTACGTAATATTGATTGTGAATAAAGTGCCTAAATATAAAAATGATGTATGAATATGAAATGATAATAATTTTATGAAACTGAGTACGTACCTTTTCTTTGTACAACAGTATAAAGTAAAATATATAAAACTTACGTTTATTTGTTGTTTCCCAAGAATGCAAGCTTTCTTTCTTACTCTAGAAGAAGAATGAAGATGGACAGTATCTGAAAATAAAGTTCACGGGATACATAGACCAAAGAGAGATGGAAGAAATTATATAATGAGAGACTTTATGGTTAAGACACAAAAAAGAGGACATATTCATGGATGATAACAAAGTGTAATTTCTAGCCAACACTTTACCAGAGCCATTTCCATTCTCTTGCAGGTTAGGTTAGGTTAGATATATGAATATATAACTTTGGAATATCTTTTGTAGAGAAAGATATTTATTTGACATATACAGCAAAAATTGCAACATGATTAGTATTTACAAATCAGGACTGATTTACTGAATGTAATGCACTTTATTAAGTTCACATTCATAAAACAATAAACATTCAAAATTGTTCACAGGATTCAGATAAAAAAGTGAATTAAGAAACCATTAATGAAGAATGTGCAAAGCAGGTTTCACTTATGTCCAAAACAATTAAACCCCATTTCACATGTATTAAAACACTAGACAATGGAAAATAATTCAGACTCTTCAAACATAAACCAGTAACTAATTAGTATATTAAATATTTCGTGTTCTAGAAAAAAAAAACTTTACTAAATCAGTGCAATGAAATTCATGTAATGGAAGTGTTCACTGGACACGTAATCCGCTTAGAATTTTCAGGTTTTCTTTTGATGAATAATTCAGGGTTACTTTAAATTTGCAAAAGTAGTATATTAATAATGTATGTGAAAGACTGAGTCTGAAGAATAAAAACTGAATCTGTTTCTGATGGTTTGACATATTTTGAAGTCACAAATGGACCTCGGTGGTTAGGGTTATGAACCCAACAGGTTTAAAACAGAAAATAAATAAATCTGATATGGAGATTGTCAATGCTATGGAAAGGCTTGGTCATAAGATAATATATGTAAAGTGGAAGTGTCATAGGAACAAGGAAGAGGGGAGATAATACATGTAAAGTGGAAGTGTCAAGGAAGAGGAAGAAAAGAATTTTGGCTAAGAAGTCAGTGCCAAAAAACAGACATTAAAACTAAATATTTGTCGATGTAACTTGATGATATGTTGTGAAAAGTGAACTCCAGATTTAAAAACATTATTCAGCCAAATGATTCTTAATTCCTGTACAGTTGAAATATAGTTTGCATTTTTCACGCACGGTGTCATTAATTAGGGCAAAACACATTTTTAATTTCTTCTAGTTTTTGGATCCAGTGAACTTTAATGTTCAAAAAACTTCGCTAAGCAGTGTTTATATTTTATTCATAATAATTTATATGAAATGTAGGCTAATAAATTCATACAAAATAATGCAATTGCTTTTTCTTGACTGTGCCTTCAGTCAAGACTTTCATATCAATGTATGAGACATCCATCCTCAAGAAATATATTTCTCTAAATAGAATATTTGTTTTGTCTACAATTTACTCATTCTGTTCTGATTGCGTCAACTACACTTTTTGTCGCTTAATTCTATGTTGACGGTACGATTTTGTGTAAAATAACCCTAATATAATATATTTATCATGAGCAGGCGTAGCTCAGTCAATATAGTGACTAGCTAAGGGCTGGACGACCGGGGTTCGATCCCCGACAGGGGCAGAGGATTTTTCCTCTAGCCTCTGCATCCAGACCGGCTCTGGGGCCCACCCAGCCTCCTCTACAATGGATACCGGGGGTCCTTTCCCGGGGGTAAAGCCGGCCGGGGCGTGATGCTGACCCCCATCTAGTGCCAAGGTCAAGGAAGAGAGGAGCCATACCTCCACTCACCCCAAACGCCTACATGGCGTATAGTGGGACAAACTTTACTTTACTTTTTACCAGTCTCTCTCACAGAACTGAAATTCTCAAGAGACCCACTGGTGACCCTCATGTAGAAAATGGCTGTTCTTAAAAAAACTACAGCATGTAACAAATATAAATAAGTTTAAAAAATGATTCTGGTGAAATTACGGAGCATGTAATCCATAAAGGATAAATCTCCATGAATTGTTCTTTGTGTTCATATATATATATATATATGTACCGTTATACGAATATTAGGAGCCGGGATAGCTCAGTCAGTATAGTGACTAGCTACGGGCTGGACGACCGGGGTTCGATCCCCGACGGGGGCAGAGGATTTCTCCTCTAGCCTCTGTGTCCAGACTGGCTCTGGGGCCCACCCAGCCTCCTCTAAAATGGGTACCGGGGGTAAAGCCGGCCGGGTCGTGATGCTGACCACTCACCCCCATCTAGTGCCGAGGTCAAGGAAGAGAGGAGCCATACCTCCACTCCCCCCAACCGCCTACATGGCGTATAGTGGGACAGAAAAAATTTACCAAGGTAATCTCTTCTTGATGATAAATTTACCCTAAACTTCTTGGAATGTTAGCATACTACTCTTAATTCATGAACCATTCTACTCCTACCTCCTTTGCACATTCCTCTCGGAACAAAACTGTAAAGTTAAGACAAATGTATAAGAAAATGGATTGTTATAAGCATTTACATTGTTTTATAACATTTTCCTTGGGAGCTCTCATTCATTTTAAATCACTCACACTGAAGAGATTGAAGGAAATGAGATCTTTATCTCTCTCATTAATTCATTAGGCTTGACAAATATAAAAATTCAGTGTAGATTAATTTCATCAGTTTGTATAAAACAAAGACAAATGCACTCTACCTCAGTGAGGTTTTGCAGATACAAATATCACTGTTTTCCTGTAGTACAAATGGACTAATATTCTATATAATTAACCTCCATGAAAGAAAGTTTTACAGTCATCTCGAAGCGTGACATTTTAATTCCCGAAAAAACTGAAGTCAGTCAGGTCTTTCGCCCGCAAGTCACTTTTCTTCTTTTATTAAATTGGATTCATAAAATGTTTATTTAATTCATTCCTTGGTTCAGCTCGTTACTTTCTTTTAATTATGCAGTCACATACAACTTTCGTATCAGTAACCGACACAGAGGTTCAATTTTCAAACTCTTCCGTGAACAATCATTAGAAATATCAGTAGCTGTAAATGAATTCGGCCATTGCAATTTATACGTTAGGTAATCAGTAATACTAAATTATTCCTTCGGATAAATACTCCTGTAACATGACTCAAGATTCTCTTTCCAAGTTCGTATGAAACACTGAATATTTTTTCACATGCAAATTACATATATACATTAAACTGACGATGGTCGCCGACGATGAAAAACACGGAAATTCCGTTTCCTCTTGCAATATTCTATAAAATTCACTTGCACTGTGGTCTGCCTTGTTTATTATTGTACAAATTCATGTTGTGATGAGATGAGCCTCATACTTCAGAATTAGACAGTCAGAATCTTGTGGTGGTCACACGGGGACCTTGGGACGTAGGAATTCGCCCTCCTGGTTCTGACATGGGATGCTGGTGTCCGAACTGGAGGTACAAAATGTAATTAATGCAGGCATATATTTCCAGTGCTGATCGCTACAGAAACAACAAATATCAATAACAAAACAATATATATATATATATATATATATATATATATAATTGTTTATGTAAGAACATGAAAGTTAAGCTGGGAATTTTAACAATCCGGCATAGCTACTGGTCGAGGAGGAGAGGTCGGACTAAGATAGGTACCCTGGTCCTCCAGGTTGGGGGTTGGTCGCAAGGCTAACAACCTTGCAGCGTAAAAAGGAAGATGTTTCGAAACCTCAATCAAAGGCTCGGACAGACGGACCTAACAGAGGACTGAATGGAAGAGGAGAATTGAGGAGGCCACGGATTGAATACGGACCGGAGAGCCATAGAAGAAGAAGAAGAAGAAGCAGCAGCAATCCGAAAGGGTACAATAAGGTAGATATCATAAAGCACATGTTTCTTTTAGATTCTCATGGTAATGAGCATGACAGCGTCTGTCCTGAAGAATGTAGTCTGATAAATATTGATTGATGTATAAAAGGAGCTTACTACCTTCACTAACAGGGTAAAGATTTTATCTCACCACTACATCATTTGTAGTTGAGTGTATTGTACATTAGTTTTGTTATAACAGTAATTATGTTACTTTATATACAATTATTAAAATTATTTTAATTCATTAATTTTTACATTTTCTTTTAGATTTTACTTAACCAAACATTTATAACTAAATTCTATATTTAATTTTGTGCAGACATTTTCTCATCTCTGTTCTTCCTGTCTCATTTGTAAATTTAATCTCCATTTCAGTGGGGGCCTACAGTATTTTTATTTCTAGCACAGAATGAGCTACCTCAGATGCTCATACCAACATAAACACTGACTTAATGCTGGCAAGCCATGCTTGTACGAACGTAGAACCACATTTATCCACAAAAGCTTATACTGATCTCTGTCCAATAAAAATAAAAAACTTAGTTCCAAACCATTAATACCACATGCAATTATCATGGGATATGAAACTAAGATGTAGCGCAGGACAGTAAACTTAATGAAAAATACAACTTACTTTTCATCTGTAACTTGTAGCGGTAGCGAAGACGCATATTTTGACGAAAATCATAACCGAAGAAAGTCGTCTGCTTTTAATTTTGGAGGCTTCATTTCGGAGCAAATTATTGGTCAACATTCCACAGCTCGAACCCACCGCAGGCAGGAAGCACCAAGCAAATGGTCAAAATTCCACTCACACCAATCACAACATTGGCACTTTGTTAATGGGGAGACAACAGATAAAACTACGCTACAACAAGATGCAGTATTTCTACAGGCACACTTTAACACGCTACAGTAGTCTAGTGGTAACTTTTTATTGGGAGAAGGTTATGATGCATCATGAGTTTATACCATGCTTTCTCTATGTGGTGTCGATGTCGGCTGAGAGATGAGAGGCGTCTCGACATCGGCCTGCTGATCGGGGAGGGACTCGTCGCGGGGCCTTTGGGAACGTTGTTGCAAGACGTGCAGGGGCTGCTGGTGTGCGGTCAGATGAGGGTGGTGCAGCACAGGAAGTGCTGAAGGATGACAGCCTTCTGAGGCTGAAGATAACGCCGGGACCAATTTCTTGCTCACGTCAATCTGCGCATACACAGTTGGTTCTTGGTGAGGCTGCTGTCGTCTGAGAGTCGACGTGCCGTACATCGGCGACAGTTCTGCGTATGTGATTTCATCATTCTGAAATCATGGGAAAGTGCTGCTACAAGATTACGCACTTTAAATATTTCCTGATATTTTACCCACTTACTTTGTCTGTTCGACCAAAGTGACAAATTATTCACAAATTTTTCTAGATCTAGTAAATAGAGGACTGAATTACGATGATAATATTAGCATTCATGACTTTAATGGGGTAATGAGGATGACAATTTGCAGAATAGACCTGCAATTTAAATTTAGCCTTGAATCATGTGGTTCATCAACTTCACAAAATTTTGGCTTTATTTGTAGGATCTAGAAGTTGGATTAGAAATCAAAAGAATCTGTAATGGCTCTTGGCTGGGCTTTGAACTTAAAATTTATAGAACTGGAAGCCAGCTCAAGATTACCATTTTAATGAGTGAGAATAAACAGAACATAACCTCAAATATAAATGTATTTGAGGTTATGTGTGTGTGTATATATATATATATATATATATATGCCACATAACCTCAAATACCTTTGCATAAAATGTTGGAGAACAACTTTACACAATCAAAGAGTCAAAAAAAGTATTCTCATTACGTAACATTCACTGATAGCATTGATACTGTTAATTACAGGAAATGTAAATTCGGCAAACTCACAGTTTTTGGGATATTCATGATGTTGTTGGTGTTCTCATATGTGCCATTATTTGGTGGCGAATGTAGCCGCGGTGTCATACTAGAATAGATTCTGTTTGGAGCGTTATTTAGCTTCTCAAATGCTTTTTCATCCGGATCTTGGTAATCTGTATCTGGAACATGAAGCATGTTTCCTGCATCATAATATTGATAATAATGTTTCAGATACGTCACACGTAAAAGAAATGTCAGATGTATCCGGGATTCTTTTTAAAAGATTAATATAGAAAAATCAATGAAGAAAAATTACTTTATTACTTATAATTACAAAAGTATGCTGATCTGATATTATATCATTAATATCAACTATGACACATCTGTGGTGAGTGATGATAACATATTTATGCAGCCGATTCTGATCGACAATCATCACAGATTATTCACGAAATAGGGCGACAATTATGCAGAACTGGTACTTCTGGAGCTGTTCGTGGGTTTAAGACATTTTAAAATGCATTAGAATGAAAAATCATTGAAATCTGAAATGAGAGATCTGAGATTCACACAGCCACAAAACCTGGATTTGTTCCCAGGGCAGTCCATGTCGATTTTTGGCGGGCAAAGTGGCACTGGGGAAAGTTGCTCTCAAAGTTCTTGGTGTTTCCCCTGTCAGTATAATTCCACTGATGCTACATATTCACTGAAGTAACATCTGGTGGGGTGGACAATGGGCCCGTTAGCGGCCGCAATAGTAAATTCTTGGAAATGGCCCAAACGTTTGATTGGAAAAACTGTGCCGTCAGTCCCAATGCCATACACAGGAAAATGAAAGAAGTAGTATTTCATTTTCTTACACCTCTGTTCTTAATGTCGTGTCAGAGAACAAAAACACTGACTTACCACTGTTCTGAGGAATGATGTCTGGATTCTTTTCATCCATACTATCAATGCTTTCATCCATGTCCTTACTGAGTGGCATGGAACAGGCTTTATCACCTCCAGGCGGCGTTCCCCGCCTTCCACTGCCATCCTCACGTTCTTTCACGTCCTCGTCCCCATGACCTCGGAGCCGCATCACGACCACTATGATGACGGCCAACAGCACCAGGGCAGCCACCACACCAATCAAAACCCCCAGGATTGGTGTAATCTGCAGGATTGCTGGTGTCGCAGCTGTAACAGTGGCACTTCAAACATGAGCACAAGGAGTCATCGGTGTTTATTTTCTGATGAGTAATCCACTGGCTACTTCTAAGCATCACGTTCTCATACGCTCTCTATCAGTCTTTTTTCTTTACGCAACAGATCCTGTTAAGAAATAAATTTGTGGTATCTATTTCTTCTTCTTTATTACACCGCCTCCTTTACAGGAGGTTGGCGACTTATTACGAACAGGGTCCTTCCATCATTTTCTCGGACTGGGACCCGTTCATATACGTTCTTTAGGCAGGTGATACAGAAGTGGTTTTCCATTGCCTTCTTCTGGAATAATTGTTGGGATGCCACGGAGAAACCGGAGAAGCCCCGGAGGAAAACTACGTGTTGCCTAGACCACGGCCTTGCCCAACACAAGTTATAAATGAAATGTTGGTAAACATCGACCATACTACACAGCGCAACAACCCAGAAGACAGTAATCTTCAAGTTATAACTGATCTAAGCCCTTCTTATTGAGGACAAAACACTTAAGCCAAATTACTTGTTTCTCATACATTAAACACTTCAGTTATAATCATTTCATTGGTACACTGGTGCCAAAGTTGTTAGTCTACAACTGAAATATAATGCAAATGTAGACCAGGGGTTCACGATATATGGCTTTTTGGCCACATACAATTATTGCTAACTGTAGGCCTGTCATTCTTTCTTACCGAAGCTGCTTATTCATTACCCTCCATACATCATCACACTACAATAAACAATACATGTGCGTATTTTCATCAGTTATAAAAAAAGTGATTTTTTTTTTTCCATATCAAAATCACATTTCTTCGATACCCTGTTGTACAATCAGTCATGGAATTGAAGTAAATTACATTCTGTAATCTTTCATTATATCAAAAATAACCAACACCATCTTCAAAACCCATAAATATCACATACCACGCATATTTCATATGTTGCAAGGATATTAAATATTTGTGAGAATAGCAATTTCTTCTTTCAGTGGATTTAAGATTCTAGGAAAGTGTATAATAATGTTTAGTATACTTTCGTCATATTAAATTAAAATAAAATAGGTTTCCATAAACCAGTACCAAATGTTAGTAATGCAGATTATTTTAAGTCTCATTAAGCACTATTGCAGTGAGGGCTGAAGTTAGTTGTTAATAAAGTAATTTAGTAGAGCCTGCACCTACCATGGCATTCAAATATGCATGTTAGATGAAAGAAATCATCAGTGTGAAAAATGATCCTCTCTCCTGAAATTACCCGAAATTAAACAGAAAATTGTGTCATGTTACTGAAGGCTGCATTCAGTAACATCATATCAAATGTTACTGCAGTACCAGTAGTAGTTCTTCTGAATGCTTCTGACATCTAGTGGATTTATTTGGAATGTCTTGCATTCACAGTGATAGGTTATGAAACAATGCCTTTTAGGTTAGGGACGTCTATTTGCATACAACAGGATTTTCATGATACTGGGCAGATTTACTATAGTTTGTTGGCACATTCTAATTATAGTTTAATTCTGACAATGATAATGGATACTTAGCATTAAGCCCTACATATTTTTCAGTGTGTTGCTTGACAGTAACTACTTCTTAGAGCAAAAACCATTTCAAACAAGAGTTGTAGAAAACAATGAAACATGTTTGAGGTAATTACAAAGCAAATGACTCTCAACTGTTATGCCATGTATACATTCCCTGATTTGTTTCTGTGTCATTGTAGTACTTTCAAAACTTCTGATGCAAAGAATATGGCAGTAATTAGAACAAAAGACCCATACATTATGAGCACTACAATGAACACTGTTCCATCATCCACCCAAAATGAGGTCAATAAAATACGGTTTAGGCCTAAACTACATATTTCATTTTAATTTTTTTTTTTTTAAATTAATGACAAACAAATTTATACAGTTTATACGTGGATAGGAAAATTCAGTTTTTAGAAAAATATGAAACAATATAATTTAATACTGACTTCTTGTATGTCAGCTGTATTAAGGGTAAAAAATACCTCAAGTCATACATAAAAAATATATAATTTGTCACAATCTGAATATGTATATACAATAGAGATAATAATGTCTGCGGCATAGCAAGAACACAATTTCCAACATAATTTCAGAACAATTTAAGAAGCACTGCAATACATACACTGTTCTACCGTTTCCCTGAATTACAGCTCCTTTCGTACATTACTTACAGAACTGATCTTATAATAAACAACAACTCCGTTTCTTGAGACTTTAGACTTCAATGTGATCATACACATGGCGTAAATAGAATTATTTTGTGATCCGGTGGAACACAAAAAACTGGAATACCAATTTTTCCAGTGAAGTAATAAAATGCTCATTGTTCTATTAACTCTGTTCAAGAAGATGACATCAATGTCTACCATCTATTGAAAGCATGATTGCATTTTTAATTCAGTTTCGTATGAAGAGACCAATACAGACACTACGTTTCTGAGGTTAGTTCCACTCCCTCTATCTACGCAAACGAAACATCTAGTTCAAAACCTTACCACCACGGCGCTGATCTTGTTCGGGCAAAACTGTGTAGATGGAGACAGCGTCACTTGTGGCATGAGCTGTCACTGTTCGAACAGATAACACAAGATCCCTGTAGGTGGCAGGCAGATCTGTTATCTCCAACATCCCTGCCATCTGAGAAGTGGCACTGGCAACCAGGTGCCTTGTTTCGGCATCAAACACTTGCAGCACATACGTGGTGGGAACATCATCAGGGTGATTATGGTGAAGCACCTCAGGGGGAGTGTAGCAACCTACTCTCAGCGAACTGACCGTCTGGTGTGTGATTGTACATTTCTCAGGAGGCTGTGGTTTATCTGACCAACCTGATTTTGAAAAGTCCATCACTGAACTGTTTTTTGACATGATGGCACAGCATCCAGCTATGCTAGAATTACAATGATATTCACTAGATATTTTTAATTAAAAATTTGGATTCACAAATTATATCACACATTAAAAACAGACATTACACCTGATTAATTTTATTTCAAAATAATTGTATATACAGGTAGCCCTCGATTTACGCCGAGGATGTGTTCCTGGACGAATCGGCGTAAATTGAAACGGTTTTATAATGTAAATCAACGGGAAGTCAATGACATGCGTTCCCAGCACCAAAACATTGACGAGTAATATAATGGCATTACATTTAAAGCTCTGAAATAACGTAAATAAAATGAATGGAATTTAAAAAATATATTTTATACACTTACAATCGGCGATGGCGTTAGTTCTCTGACGAAGTCCCTGGCTCAGGATCGTCATGTATTTTTTAAGAAGGCATGTAGTGTGGACTGTCGTGATTTCTTCATTCATTCTTTCTTCCTTCCTTTCTTTCTTTCTTTAAAGTTTCACGATAAGGCCTCATGGATGCTATAACGGTCCTCTTCGTCGTATCACAAGAGAAAACTCGCACATGCAAAAGTTTGCATTTCACAAACAGCTTTTACCGATTCCTCGATCTCATTGGAGCAAATTCGCGTTAACGAAACATACGTAATTGCCGAAATGACTGTATTTATAATTTTTATTCAAAATCAGCGATGTAAGAATTACGATTTAGTATAAGAATCAGTACGAGAAACATTGTAAAACGTTATAAATAATAGTAAATTTTTCTTCTCACTTTTTGACTTTCTGGTTTCAAAACCGGCGTTATTCTGAATCGGCGCAAATCGAGGGCTACCTGTATCTATAAACACTGTCAGAATGTAAAAATATTTATATACGTTATCCTCCAGATAAACGAATAGTTTATAACAAGAAAATAGCAACAAAGCAATATTCCTGAAAGCTTCATTCCTACGGATAATAGCATGAAGTAGTAACATTTTCAGCTATATTTATGACGGCTTTCAAGACAATTTTTTTTAAAGCGTGCTATGCTTTTGGCTAATATTATAAAAATTGGCTTTAGTATTGTGCTGTAGTGCGCAAAAATGTGGACATACAGTTTTATAGATCCCTATTATAAACTTCCAAATAAGAGCATCTGTTTCATGTTCATCAAACTACAAACAGAAACTGGAGCTTTGTATAAGAAAAACACAAGATAAATGTCAGAAAATCTCCAATTTTATATTGAAGACTGAAAGAAATTCCTGGACTCAGATGACACTCTTTGGAAATATACGTGGAAAACAGTACATACGTACGTACGTACCTCAAGAAAGAATAATCATGTTGCGTTGTGACCATAAATACGATGACTGTATTTCAGTCAAACCAGATGGAATCCACGTCGGATTTTACAAGTTACTTAACGCTTGTACGTGTTTAAATTCAAATGACAACCAAGGTCTGTGCTACATAAAATTATTCCTTAAACACAATTAAAACACGCATATGTATGCTGAAGTATTTGGACTCAATCTCTGTTACAGACTTATGTTCCAAGGTATCTGACGCTAAGTCTATGTTGGCGAATGATGGAACAACGCCCTCGAAACAGCCTACAAACGCCTCATTAAAAATCCTCACCTAGTCACAATTCTTGAACATCAACTTAACCTAACCTAACCCTGGATCATGAATTAGTAAATCAACTCTATGGCCAAAATCCCATATAAAGCATATACATAACTCACCAGTACGTTTCTCTGCTGCCTTGGACGTGTAAGCATGCAGTGGTACCGAATCACTGCGGCCCTTTGAATTGGCTGCGTACAGAGATATATCGAATCCAATACCCGACTCCAGTCCACTGATAGTAAACGCTGGAACTCGTGACGTAACATTGGTGACGAGATTCTGCGTCATGGCGTCATAAACCTCCATGACGAATTCTTGTGGAAGTCCACCGTCGAAACCGTCTGTGCACTCTACATGGAGCGATTCTGCTGTTTGGTTTAATATCGTGCAATTCTGTAAACCGTCGGGCTTTCCTGCAATACAAATTCATAGCCGTGAACGACAAACGGTGACCGATAAAGAGAACTAGATACGTACACACGATCAGGAAAACTAAAATATGTGAGGGTTGTTAAGGTTAAAGAGATTAGGGTTAATCGCCACAGCTAGTTAGAACCGTTCGGTCCATTTGTGTGACAAACACGCTATTACCAACCAGATACAAGTTCAAACACATCTCCGACATTCGTGGTGGAGATACGTCGATTCCTGCAAATTTTCTGGTCATATAAAAAGTCCCTGGACAAACAAAAGAGACATATCCATAAAGTTAACTGCGTCGTGCTCGTAAATCAAGGTGTCTAATCGCCAGACACTCCTCTTAAGCGAGGAGAGTGAGGAGAGTAACTGACAAAGGCACACCGAAACTGAAGTGTGGAAATAAAACAAATGCAACTTTTGATTTCTATTTGTCGTCGACTTTTTTATACACATACAGACGCCTGGTACTTAGAGGGCTTTTCTGCCAACCAAACGGTTTCATAAATTTTGTCCGCAACATCTGAATCTCTACGAACAAAACTTTAGACACAAGTAGAAACGAAGTTATTTAACTGGGGTGAATTTTATGCTTTATTGTTATGACGTACGAAAAATAGCTTAAACAATAAGAACAAAAGGATTACGTAGCCAAAATGTAGCCACAAATCTAAAAAGCCTAAGAAATATTACAAAATATACATAACATGGACAGAAAAATCTTTTCAGATCTTCGTTTTCTACTCCTGTTTTATTGTGTGTGAGTTTTCTCCCCAAACCCCTTTATTTTGTTCTTGTAGTTGTAATGATCTCGATAGTTTAGAAGATGGGGGTGAATGTGGAACGGGTTGGAGTTAACAGGCCCCAGAGTGGCCATTCAATCAACTGGGAAAAGCCAGTAAAGCAACTTTGAGCACGACGAAGAATTGTGGTAGATGCAAAGCGATTATTCTGAATTACGTTCAAACACATCTAAATGGTTTGTAAACTGTAAAGAACAGAAACAAGGGAAGTTTGGGGGGCTAAGAAATGTAAGAGGGTTAAAGTGAATAATAAGCAGTTTTAGAAAAGTAAAAATGCCGAAAGGTAGTTAAATAGCGGGACGAAGGTCGAATGAACGGGAGATGATAGTAAAAGCGATAAATTCCAAAGATTGACCACCCCCTGTGATATAAAAAATGCGGAAACAGAGCAGAATCACTCGCATGGATGAACTTGAAGGAAGGGACGGATATTGGAAGGGAAAAGCAGACGACAACCACAAAAGGCAGGGAAAAGAATCCGCAAAGAAGAAATCTAAAAAAAAAAGAAATCCTCAAATCCAAAGATGTGTCCGACGAACTGGAAGAAAATGAGCAGCTCTGAAAGAGCGTAACGCATTCCGGAATAAAAATCAAAGTAATGGGAACGAACAAAAAGTGGGAGTGAGCAACTGAGAATGGTCTCAACTTAACGCTAGAAATGAACAACGCAAACAGAAAAATTGCAATTACTGTTCCTGGCTGAATGTCTCCGTAGGTTTCTTCAATTCTTGTAGACTTTCAAAAAAAGATTGTGACGTGTTTCATCATTACGATCAAGGTACAAATTTAAACACGAGCGACACAGTGCAACGTACGCCTGGGCTATGATAGCAGAACCAAACCAGTTACCTGTTTCGTAGTTGGCCCTCGAATCATATTCTGGAAAGCGGAGAACATAAGTGAACAAAATATACGAACCCGCGTCTAGGAGGCGGGCCGAGAGAAATTCAAACCAATGAGGAGATGTCCAGATAATACGGCCTATTAGCAATACGACTCAATTAAACAGCCATTTTTTTTATTTAGTGTTCTGTCTGACGACAGGTCCATATGAACAGGATCCTTCCATTCTTTTCTCGGACTGGGACCTGTTCATATACGTTCTTGGCAGATGATCCAGAAGTGGTTTGCCATTGCCTTCTTCTGTGTGTGAATGGAGTAATTGTTGGGATGCCACGGAGAAACCGGGGAAGCCCCCGGAGGAAAACTCCGTGTTGCCTAGACCACGGCCTTGCCCAACACAAGTTATAAATTCGGGCATCGCCGGGAATCGAACCCGAGACCCCAGGATTACAAGGCCAGCGTTCGACATCAGCTGACACCTTTTCTCGATGCATCGAACATTTGTTGCGGCGAAGACCATTTTATAAAATGCATTCATAACTACTTCTGTCTGTAAATGAAGTCAACTCAAATTGCTTTTACGTAAAATTTCATTAAGTGCGAGTTCTTAAAACGTGTAGCTAGTTTTCTAGAAAACCATAAAATGTGTAAACCTTTGAGAATGACGAATGTTCCCTTAGTTTGAAGCACAAACTGCCCTCAAGGGCCGGCCCTGATAAAATCATTCCTGAGTTTCGTATTCTAAATCGACGCTGCTTTGTCTCACGATACTAAGCGACCAGTCTCGATCGATGACAATAATGGAGCGTTTCGCTCCTGGCACAGTGTGGGCCAAAATAATGAAATGTGACCAGCTTATATCTAGATCGATGGCGAACAAATCTCAAGAGAAAACAAAGAATTCGCTTGAGTGTTGAAATATGAAACTAAGATGGATGGACCTTGTCAATAAGAGACCTAACCTGACCTTTCCCTTGATCGAGTGCTTGCGTCGTAAGAACTAAGGCCGACCGTTTCTCCTCTCTCCGTCTGTCTACTCGGCACGGTCAACTCCTGTATCATCGCTCATAGTTTATTTACTCTCAGCTGCTGAAAATGGGGCTGTCGTCTGCAAGGACTCACCCTCTTCAAACTCCAGCCTCCTCCCAGTTTTGACCACCCCCTCCTAATACACAGCAGCTACAGTTCCGGTCACTACCAAAGATTGAACTCTTATTCCCTCTTACGTTCGATCTTTTGTCATCTTCCTTTTACCAAACTTTAGCCTTTATCTCTGTCTTCTTCATTCCCCTGTATATATATATACACATACGTACACACACACACTCACAGTTTTCACGTCGTTTCAATTGAATTTTCCCCCTTCTCCGCTTCTGGATGAATGACTTATTTTCTCCTGAAAGAGGTTATCTTTGTGACCTATCTTCCCTTATTTTTTATTTTTCATTTTTTTCACTTTCATACGTTCAGTTCTTGCCAAGTGTTCAATGACTTATGGAGACTACCTCCGATATCCACTTTTGCCACTTGGGTGGTTGGCTGCACGGATGGACATACTGATGGATGAATACATGAAAAGTTTACTTTTACTGCGAGCAATTGGATAACAGATACAATAAGAACTGCTGTGGTAGTTCTGCAGCAAATGCATTGGTCATTCCGTAAATTCATCTAAATTCTTTCCTTATTTCTGTGCAATTAGCGAGGATTAGAGACAACCTTCCCTGCAGCTATGTATTTTCTAAACAATTCAATTACTGTTATTTATTTGTATTTATTTTGTTATTTTGCTGTACTTGTAATTGGCTATCTAGCTGTTGATGCTGCACACTAATAATACAGAGATGAATTGAAAATCAGTACAGTAACTCGTTATGGACTAGACGACCGAGGTTCGATCCCCGACGGGGGCAGAGGACTCTTATTTTAGCCTCTGCGTCCTGACACGTTCTGGATATCCAATGGGTAACGGGGTCCTTTCCCGGGGGTAAAACGCAGCCGGGGCGTGACACTAAGCATTCACCCCCATCTAGTGCCGAGGTTAAGAACGAGTAGGAGCTATAATACCACTCCTCCCAAGCGCCTACGCACAGCTTTACTCTTTTATTGAAAATACTGAAACGCGTTTTTTTTATTCGTCTGATGTAAACCAGAGTCAGCCGCCGAATGTAAATGTAGTGCGTAAGACCCCAGCTTTCCTCAGCCACTCAGCTTAGTGTCCGAATATCGTTTCCTTCCACGTCTTTTCTAAGACACATTTAAAACTATTAATTTCTCATTCGTATATATAAAACCCACGATCTATGTAACTTAAACAAATTCGTTAAAACTAAGAAATGAAACAAATAATATGCTATATTGAAGCAACATTTTATATAATGACACATTTTCTAAGTAATTAAGTAATTCTGACAGGTTATTTTTTTTCGCTATAATGAAAATTTACGTGTAACAAGTTTGCCGTGCATGGTTTGTATTCCGGCAGCATAAACCACTTTAACTGCAAGACATCTACACTCATACACACATAAATTGAGTTATATTTCTAAATATAAAATCTAGCGTTCTTAATCAGATACGAGTGAAAAAAGTATCATCTTATCATCTTTGAAAGTTTGCAGACCTGTCAGTTATGGATAAGCCTATAATTGTTGACATTAAGAAGACAGGGTTAGGTATCGGTAAGAGGATAACTTTGAAGTCATAAGCATTAAGACGGCGAATAAGCAAGCATTATGGAGACTGTGGTCTAGATTAAATAGTCCGTTGTTTGTTTCTCTTTGTACAAAACAGAGTAAATTAAAGGGGCGGGCACAGGCATACGACAACCATTTATATGAGAACGGAAAAGACGCAAAAGATTGTCTAACAAGGAATCATAAGTGGAAGAAGGGGTGCACATGCCTTAAATGATTTGGGGGCGATATTGATACCCCATGCTCCAGAGTTCAGTATGAGGGTCAACATACCTGCTGGAATTATGTGGAAGACACAAGGTGCTTTCTGAACGCCGAGATCGTTGCGACCCCAGCAGAGCAAAGTGCCGTAGTCAAGTTCCGTCATGGGCGTATATGAGGTCGTGCTACGGGCCCGGTCCGTAGTAAAGTACGAAGCGGCAATATCGATGATCTCCGCTGTATTGTTGAACTTCCAGGTGAAGTGGATTCCTTCCTGAGGATTCGCTTCGAGTTCACATTGGATCCTGACTGTTTCCTGGCGGGCGACCCCGTGAACTTTCTGTTGACCTGGCTTACACACCGGCGCGACTGCCAACACGATGCACAAAACACTTACCAGGGCGACACACTGTACTCAGACATGTAGGTCAATCAGCTGTGATTTGCTTAACGTTTGGACTATACTGCTTTATAATATCAACGTACGTACTATACGTAGCCTTTTATGTATGCATGCATGCGTGCTTGTATGTGTACATGAATGCACATATATATGAGTGCATGTTGCAACCGCTCACACACTGGACATTATTTTATAATATTGTGCTGTAGAACAGTGGTATTCAACCTTTTTTGTTCGCGTACCCCCAGATATAATTTCTCTTCAACTCTGTACCCCCAAAGTTGTTGGTGTATAATTTATGTTATACATAGTATATAATCTACATCTAAAATAAATTAAATAAATTACATTACGGATTATTCAGTGTTTATCATAAAATAATATTATACGTTTTTTAAATTTCACGTACCCCCTAAGATGTCTTTGCGTACCCCAGGTTGAATACCACTGTTGTAGAATATGCAAGGACCTTTCTCCTTTCTGCGTCCTCCAGTTCAAGATAGAGGCTTCTTTCAGCTCGTCAGTCGGAGGGAAATAAAAATTGACCACATGTACGCTTACAACGTCTTTTCAATTGAACCAGAGTTTCTAAAACTGGAGTCATTCTGGTTAATACCCGACACCTGCACCGCGTAAAAGGGGAAAATGCTACGCTCTGATACCAAAACATTTCGATATAGTCTACTGAGAGCTCTCGCAGCGGGGAAGATACGCACGATAATCTTCTGGGTAATAAAGGCGTAGATACCAGGGTTTCGGAGAATCATACTGTCTACATCTTCAGGGCTGAACAGTGTGTTTATCCGAATCGAAGGCATCTACCTACAACTCAACACGGCGTGACTACCCGAAGACCAACGTTGACATTTCGAAGATTTTAAAGCAGTCTCTTTAAACTTGAATAAACAAAATAATCTCAGACCAAATTTTACAACGCTACTTTAGATGCCACATAAACTTAGTATTAAAGTCACAAGTATTATAATCTTCATAGTTATAATGGTATTTAAACAATTAGGCAAAACGTATGATCTAAATCAGTGGTATTCAACCTGGGGTACGCGTACCCCTGGGGGTACGCGAAGGCATCTTAGGGGGTACGTGAAATTTAAAAATATATATATTATTTTATGATAAACACTGAATAATCAGTATTGAAATTTATTTTAGTTGTTGATTATATACTATGTATAACTTGAATTATACACCAACAACTTTAGGGGTACAAAGTTGAAGAGAAATTATATCTGGGGGTACGCGAACAAAAAAGGTTGAATATCACTGGTCTAAAGCTTTCACGGCGACTAAGTATAATGATTTCTTCTCGGGCTACCGGACATGTAAGGTGGCTTACACGTCTGGTAGCTCGAGAAGAATTTATTATAGGCAAAACATTATTTCTGAACGCGTCATATTAAAACATCCATAGCAAATCAATATTTCTTGCGCAGATTGCAGATAAAAACTTTTTCAAATTTACTAATCCAGTGCTGTTAACAATTCAACAATTTACATTTGAACTAGGATCAGAAGCTGTCCGTTGAATGAAGTGTCGAAATGAAAAATAAGAATTATATTTCACTTCTACTCACGCACAAGCATGTGGTGCGGTGAGAAACATGAAATTTCCCTACGGAGTGTACAGGAATGATATACAGATGGCGTATATGTGTATCTACCTGCTGAAGGTAAGGTACCCAGAGTCAACAGCTGATGTAGTATGTTCAGTGCCGGATGCGTCATCCTGCCACAATAATATGTTACACCAGGCGTAATGAGAACACAGTCTACTTCCCAAACCTGGGTAAATTACCCAAAAATGGGTAAAAGTGGTTTTTCTTTGGTAACGACACACCTCGGAATACACATTACAAATACATGTGTGAAGTAGGATTTTCCACTCTTGCCTTCATAAAGAGCTCAAAACGAAACTGTTTGCTGAACCAAAAATACGATGTAAGGTGGGCTCTGTCTCCAGTTGCCCCCAATTTTGTGGAACTAGTAAACGATTCTAGGTAATAAGTATCTTCCGCTTTGCGATCCTTGGCTGACGACATGATGTGAACAATTAGACATTTTATTACAGCCAGGACGAAGTTGACTAAGAAAATCAATATTATACTATATTAGGCCTAAGTACGCCAGAGATTTAAGGTCATTACGCGGTGGTAATTTAGATTGTGGTTCCCTGGGTTGTGGAACAGCGTATTATTGTGGTCACCAACGTTTCAGAGGAATTACCGTCTCCGTCTTCAGGGTAAACTTACCATGAAGACGGAGAAGAGTATTTTCCACGGAACTGTTTGTAACCATCTCCATTTTCAGGCCACTTCTACACTGGCAGGTGGACAGACAGAAAGGGTGGGAGGGTAGAAAGCAGGAAGGGCTGAAAGAGACTATTTTGGGACAAGAGAAAGGAGCTACTAAGGAACAGCGGGGCGGGGGACAGTTCGTACACATGACCTCTTGTGTCCTGAGAGCAATTTAATTAAAATCTCGATATGGTCCAGAACCGAAGAGACGAGGACTGGATAAACATTTAGATTAGTAAACCCAGCAAGAATACAAGGGTGTAAAGCCATCTGGGAGACCAAGAGGTGGTAAGAAGATTAACTGAAATGGTTCAGGACAAAGTCCGGTGGTGAAATCTTTAGGTGTTCAACATGATGCTTCAGGTTTCAGTACAACAGAGCATTTGCAGAATCGCTACTCGTGGAGGGTTACATACTAGGTAGCTAGTTCGAAAACGAATAATAAGTAACAAAATTCTCTTAAAATATAGACAAGGGTTGAAAGTATTATTGTCATTTGACTGATGTACAGTTAACGTGCAGGTTTTTTTTCGGAACTTGGCTGTACTCTCATAATCAGTTTTACGGGAAACATGAGGAACTGAGATTATTTCACATCCCACATAGAAGGACCTCCTCGCCGGTCCAGTTGTTGGTAGGTTATGCACCTGGGATTTGAGGGTTTTCTGTCATGAAGATGTAGGCGCTATGTTTATCCGAATCGCTTGTAACCATCAACAAAACTAAACGGTATCACAACCTAGATATTCACAGTCGGTTGGTATAAATGCTTCGTAATCAAACGGTTCGCGATTCGACTCCGTCCGATGCCACTAATATAAGAATAAAAATAATTTGTCTTTCTGATGACAAATAATCACACGAATGCGGAAATAAGTCAAATGGGGGGAAAGTGGTGACGGACAGTACCCGGCGGCGTAGCAAACCAACACATGAAGGAACGTGTCTGGTCGGCCACTATTGACGTGAGTGCTGTTTCTGCACTTTTGATCGTCTCTGTACTGGCCCGATGTGTTTGCAGTTGCCAGTTAGCGGGCAATAAATTAGAGGCCTGCATCCCCATGCGTCAGTGTGTGCCTCCGAGCAGACAGATTAGACCACAGCACTGCTCGTCACACCTACAAGAACCAAGGACACCTAAGTTATGGGGGTGCACTGCCCAAAACGCACCGAATCTGAGGGATTTTGGCACCACGAGAAACGGGACTTCCAAGTAGGTTACGCATTAGGATCTCGCCGTGTGATTTTGTGAGCAAGCTGGCATAACAACAGGTTTAATAAATCAGGAAAACAAATGGAAACCTATCAACTGATAACTGTACGATGGAATTACGTTTCAATACTGGCATATTCTTCAAGTGAGTTAGCGTAAAACTGCTCTGTCTAACGGCTTTAGCACCGAAAGAATGGAGAATCACTTTGTCATTGAATTAGTATTTATCGTGTTTATTGCGTTCTGAAATGAAGACAAGTCTTACAGCCACAGTAGAAGGTGACAGTAGATTTGACGGCCAATAAAACAGCAGTAGATCTCATATTTCGCATCGAGATTTAAATTCTAAGGTTCGGAAATAAATACGCATATGCTGTTTACTTCAACCGATTAATCGATCACAGGAATTCGTCTGCAATTAAAAAATACGTCGATTCATATATGATATAGAACCACTATCGATTTATCGTGTAAATGTATGGTTGAGTTGACCCGTTTGAGTGGGGGCAACACCAACAGCTTTGGAAAGTGCACAAACACGGCCGTGGATAATTGTGCATTTCGATCGATATGCTCTCTCCAAAAGAGATTTGGGTACATATTGGCTCCGAGGAACGTGACTGAAGGTTGGCAGAAAGCCTGTGATAGCAGAAACAAACTACTAGAAATAACAAGATTTTAGTAACAAGATATTCTTAGCATTCAGCGTTCCTTTCTTTGCCATTTTTCTTTAATTCCCTCTCTCCTTTCTTCCGCTGTTTTGTTTCATTTATGTCACAAATATTCTGCTTCAGACAGAGTTCTCATTTCCATAAAGGCAGCCCGGATTTTATCGCAGAGAGAACAAACTAACCCGAACACCACTTTCTTATTCGGCGCACATGAGCTCTCTCTCTCTCTCTCTCCCTCTCCCTCTCCCACTGGCCGTTGCAACGATCAGTTACGTTAAATCCGGTGGCGAAGTAACTTCCAAGAACAGCAATTTGTTACAAATGTGTAGTTTAACCCACATCTTGTAAGGAGACGTGATAGCATATTGCCAAGAATATTAATAACGCATACATGAAATCCAGAAGTTTCCAACCGAGCGCTCTCTTAGCTTGTACGTAATAACGCAACACAAGAGAACTGCTGGTGTGTGTGATTTCACACAGGATCTTACTTACATTCGCCAACTGTTAATAATAATTCCACACTTTGAGTTCTAATTTCTGGGCTTGCGAAGTAAAAGCCCCTATGTTATTCTGACCACGTCTGGCTTATGTACAAGATCGCGCATTCAAACATTTCCGTATTTAGAAACGCCTTCAGACATCTCCTGTCCCCCTACCGGTAGGTTCCTGATGCAAGTATTAGAACACTTCTGTAAATTGCTACTGGTTAAAGTGTCGGATAACAAAGCGCGAAACAAAATACGTAGACACTGTGTGTTTTCACTATTGTGGAATGAGCGAAAGTACATAATGAGAAATCTTATGATGTAACCCGTTTCTAATGTAGTTTACTTTCGAAAATTGAATAAACACACCAAGAAAGTAACAAAGCAACGAAGCATACGGAGTTTTGATAAGGACGCCTTTTGGAAAGTGTCCGATTTGAGAACAATGACGGTAAAGGAAAGGAAATTATAAAAGAGACCCTAAGGAAATAGTTTTTGTGAAATACATTTCGTGTTCTACACCATTTCTCAATGCCTACTTACTTCCCACCCACTCTGTAGTTCGATAGGCGATTCATTTCTTCCTCTTAGATACTTTAAATTACAGCAGTAACTGGAGTTTCGTTGCACAAAGCTTAACATTTTCTGAGTTGAAGCTTATCTGGACAATATTTAAAATTTTGACCTCCAAGAAAATGCGTCATATTTACAAAATATATGTCGGTAAATTTAACAAACGCTGTTTATACTGGAAACTAAATTAAACCCATAATTGTACTTTGTTAGTAAAGCACAGAATCACTGACTGTTAAATCAAGTGGTACAGGTAACTAATTACCCCGTTCCCTTTGGATGAATCACAAAGGAAAGTAATAAGCCATCACAGTCTAACAGGCAGATCTCAAAAGTCTGTATAATAAATATGCGGTTCGTGAAAGTTAACCTTTATATGTAATGACATGAGAATATACACATACACACATAAGCTATATTAAGTTTATTGTTCCTATATTTCACGATGTTAATGTTAATTACAGCGCATACTATTCTTCACGCACCAGAAACCCATAATATTTCACACAGTCAATAAAGTTAGAGCATGAATTTAATTGACAGTTTAATGAACGACTGTCGCCATAGTAACTGACTACGTCATAATTACTTTCTGGTACGTACCTGTTGGTTCCATTTAAGGTATTCGGGCTCCTGTCAGATTGCCTTCCGTTACAGACGGCAATATTTAAGAGAAACCGAGCTTTAGGGAGAATACGCAGAGCACACAGGTACAACTCTTAAACTTCTATGCTTCGTAATTTTTTTTACAACTGGCGGCTATTAAAGATAACTTCCTTACTCTTTGTCTGGTTAAAAACAGCGATAAGGGTCGAGATTATGATAATGTGCTGGCTGGGACAGCCTATAGTGCAACTCATGGATGCTCGTGACAATGGTGAAGGACTTTTCTACATATAATTCAAAATGATCTCCCAGGAGCTAAACCGTATCTTACGCGGTGAGAAGCCGTCATCTGCAGCATTGGCTTAGGAAGACTGCGGAAAGCTAAGAAGCCCGTTAAAATATACACTGAGGGGTTCTAGTCCACCGGCTACCATATATTATCTAAATTAAATCTGCTTGATGGATGAAAAAAAAGAAGACAGATTAATTCTTTGCAGACGGAAATGTTCTCGACGTTCTTCCGTTTTCTGTCTCATTCCCACCAATCATCAAATTCCACTTTTATTACCACAACCACAAATACTAAACTTCCTTCGCAGCTTTACAAATCACTTTTTTTTAGTACGCTAAGTTTAACAACATAGAAATATGATTTACCGCAGAATGCGGATGCCATCTCGTTAATGCCAATTAGCTAACGTAACGCCTTGCGCATGCTTCTGACAATTCTGTAATGGGTATAGCATAATCGCCATTTTGCAGGCGCTTCCTATTAACCAACAACATTTTTCAGAATGTGGTCGGCTGGCTGATTTCTACATTATAGGTTATAATTCGGGTCATATGAGAAGGGGTGAGTAGATAGTGGCTAGTTTGGTAGTATAACTGCGGCATTCTCATGTACAGACTGAAGAAAGAAACTTGGCGTATCCAGTAGCCCGAACGCGATTCGAACCGAAGCTTCCATAGTACAGTCATTACTGCAACACCAACCTCTTCGTTCTTTAATATAATATCTGGTTTTAGAAGAATTTATGTTTCGAGAGCCGTCCCCTGTATGTAACCCTCCATCTTTAGGGCCCTGATAACGGAGACAGCAAGGACCTCTGACACGTCGGTAAACTTCTACCAGAATACACTGTGCTACAACCCAGAAGACAGCCATCAATGTTAGGATAGTTACATGAAGACATTACGGTGGACTAAATACTTGATGCGATATGGGTAAAAAGGGAAACAGATGGAGAAGTCAAGTATATTTAAAGGAGGCTGAGGAAGATAATGGAGGGATATCGGAATATTTTTATAGAAATGGACGAGGATATGAATTAGACTGAACTAGTTTACTATTAGGTCCAATGGCAGGGTTCTGTGTTAGTTATTTTCTAGGTTAACATAGTACTTTTCCTGGAAGAAATTCGTAAACTAACTAACTAACTAGATGGCTTACCGAACACGAAGGTTCATCACCGAATTAACCAAAGCCCTCCACCGGACCCTGTCCTGGGCCAACAAAATCCAGTCGCCTTCAACTCCTATCTCCCACAGATCCCGCCTGAGATTATCCTCCCATCTACGTCTAGGTCTCGCCAGCCGTCTCTTCCCCTCTGGTTTCCCAACCAATACCCGGTGCACACCTCTTGTCCCATCCCTTCGTAAACTACGAACAGAATAAATTAGACTTCATGACTCGATCTAAGATCTTCGAAATGTGAGTCACAAGCATATAACGAGCTCTGTTTCCGGAGTAGAACATCAACGCCCACCAGACCACCAAACCCTGAACGTAACTAAGTCCTGGTAACGTTATGAAATTCCATGCGGTGTTGTCGCTGCAGTAATAATTTGTCACCAACACGGACATTGCTTGTATTTGAATAATTTACTACATCTAAGATTCCTGCAATTGGAAGAGCTTAGTAGTGGCTTTTGTCTGCGAAGTGAATAACGCATCTACTACGCAATGCTACTATTTACTTCGATAGCCAAGCTACTTCTACTGCATTCTGACTTTGTCTCATCTTTATTCATGACATATAAACTAAGAGAAGGACGACTCAATCCATTAATTTGTGGAACTCTGTTTGCTTGAACTGGGCCATGGCAGTCACGCCAGATGATATAGCAAGATCACTTCGTCTACAGCAAACTTATCCGCCATCTGTATTTCGTATAGTAAGTTATTTTCAAATTTCAAATAAGTGTATTCTTTATGAATATGGATACAAAACTTCTGACACTGATTAAATAATTTTAGATCTTAAACTTTTATTCTGTTAACATTTCCAAAATACGGATTCTAGAATTTTGAAAGTATCAGTAAGTTCTATAAAGATTTTGTACCCTGAAGATGAAACAGAAAGGTTCATAAACTACAAATAACAGCGGCAGGCTCATAGCTTTAGAAAAAAAAATATGCCTTTTACATAACTGATTGATCTTGGACTCATATAGATACAATTACGGACATAGTTAATCGCACTACAAAATATCACATAGCACGATTCAGAAATCGTTTTTTCCTTGTACTTCGTGAAATACTTCCCATACCAAAAACGCTTAAAATAAAAGTTGCATGCCTTTACGTGTATTATATTCTATGTCACATACATTTTGTTGCACGATGATTGTTTCTGAGACCACTGATAACATGAAACCTAAGCGTCATGTTATTGGCCCGAAACAGCATAAATGTTCGCCCGATAACTTTTATTGTTTGGTCCTCATCTCAGAAAAATACGAAGTTAAAAATGCGTGGAGCTTCCACTCCACTCCCCGTACTTATTCATGGCTTGGTGCTTAAGCACAGGGCGACATTTATATATATTTTTCACTTGTACCTTTTTCTGCAAAGTAGCAAAGTATTATTTGTACAGAGAGAGCATTACGACTCGTGATGAAACAAAAATATTTCAGCCTGGTAGGCTACAACGGGCCCTAAAAATCAAATTCCTCTGCGCAAGAAACATTAATAAGGTGATAATCTCAACAGAAAAGACTGAACTGGGCGCTCATGTTGCTTTCTGAAACAAGATGACTTACATTTCACGTCCAGATAGACAGGGTTGCTCTCGCCATCTCCTTCCTGATTACTGCCGACACACGTGTAGAGTCCAGCTCGAGCCCTTGATACTGACTGCAATACCAGACTCTGGTTGCTCACGATTGTGCCCACACTTGCGTTGTTGAACAGCGTCATACCCTGCAGTAAGGACTACTGTTAATGGACCTTCAGTGTTACAGTACACCTTATGTCTCTGTTGCCAAAGCTCAGATAAATTAAATCGTAGGCTCACAATCTTATTCAACACAAATTTTCATAAATCTATATTGTCCAGAACCAGCAAACAGGGTTTTGTGTTGACGGGCATGTTTCTCGCAAAAAAGGCATTTGTCGCTTGTCATTTATTTCGTCGAGTGTACAAAGAATTATAATTCTGAACTCGTCCAGGCACTGAGGCACTGGCTTGTACGGAACATCAAAGGGAGGTAATTTTCCGGGCGAGTCACATGCTTTCTCACTCTCATGCTGTTTGTGCACTCTTTATAGCTTCGTGCCACTAAACTTGAAACAAATCCAATGTCCAGCCCACAAATGAAATTTCAGCACCACAGTTAAAAAGAATCTTCTGTAGAGAAACATTCTTTGTTTCAAGACACTCAGATAAGGAAATCCAAACTAATGTTACTTTACAAATTAATTATTTCCTGGTTATCTGAAATTAATATTAACAATGAAGAGTGAGTTCAGATGTTCACGGCGGCCAAGTATGGAGATGGCACTGTGCGATCCCAGAAATCGGGAAAAACAAGTTAAAATAAACTGAAAATAATACGGAAACCTTACCGACAGTGTAGCTCGCCAATGTGACAGGGCATGTGAGCCCTGACAACAGATCTGCCTGAAAGAGAATGCGTATCGCGTTTCTTTGTGTGCGGATAGAAGCTTGGCTCGGACCACGTCACCACACGTTTGTTTTGTTTCAATGAAATACAAAAGCCTTTCAGAATAAAGCTTGAAATGCACTGACTGCCTAACGCCAACTGTCAATATTTCACTCTCCACTATACCAATATTTTCAATATTATTCTCATACCTGCATACAATACAATAAAGTTAAATATGACATTAACGTTCCACAGTTTTACATAAGTTATTAAAAATAAAAAAATAATCCCATAATGTGGAGGATATGGTAAAATTATAACATAAATTAAACAGCTAATTTCCAATTCAAATGTGGCTATACTATTTTAAAGCTTCAGTCATTTTGTGCTATAATTTTTACACTGAATACTCAATTAGTAAAATTCATAATAATTAGAAACGATTGGAAATGAATGCAACACACAGAATTACGTAGCTAATGGAGATTAAGCTAACTCAAAGTGAAAATAATACAGCAAAACCTCACTAATATGGACTCTCCATATTTCGGACTGCCTTCTTTTTATAGACGCACTTGATTTACGATGAATAGGGATTACCCCACCCACTCAAAAATTTAATAACCCAATTTCCCATTTCCTTTCGGCTTTGACAAGTATGGAAGCACACGCGTAGTATGCAATTTGTAATAAAAATAACATAATTGTAAACATTTTAATAAACATACGTCTTTATTTTCTTCATATTTCGGACTACCCATTGTCCTCATTAACCCAAATTAATGCGATTTCAATGTAACTATGTTAGATCAGAAGTGAATTACAAGCCTGTATAGAAGCTGGTCTAGAAATAAGGGAATACAATTCCTAGAACATTTTCTTGCGTTGTATGTAGAATATAAAGAACAAAAACGAAATCACAGATCACCAAGAGCTATTAATAAACACTCTAAAAGTTCTAAAATTATAGTTCTTTGTCTCAACATTAAGGAACAAGTTAAATTAAAGTATAGGCGAAGGAAAGATACGCATACTCAGGAAATCCATCACTTCATATGGTTCAGAACTGTCTTTGTACGGTACATGAAAGCGAAACAGCGACGTATGGATAAGTAGACAGCGATTTCCTTCACATGACACTGTTAGATTAATAAAATTTGAGATGTAATGAGTATGTAGCTTGACAAAATATTAAATTCACGGTACTTAAGTAGTTCACGGAAGGCAACTACTCAGGATAGAAAGACGTAAATGCAAGTGTAATAGAAAAGTGGTCTTAAAATGAAATATTATGTATATGACAACTGGAAGAACTGGATCAGACCAGGATTTAACGACGAGCTTTTCAGATGACGGTTATGATTGATTACTCGTGATCCGTATCTGGAGGGGATTCTTAGACTAAAAGTAAATTACGTGAAATAACCGTGTCACACAGCGTATTTAAGAGAAGTGATGTATCTACAGTAGCTACAGGCGCCACATAACAGCAAGTCGGTGGGCACTGAAAAGGAATACGAAGTTTAAGGTTTACATGCGTCATGTTTGTGTTTTGGATTAAAATATATAATAAAATACAGGTCAATACACAAAACTATATTTGGGTGTTAAAATTTAAAATTTAAATGTTAAAATTTAAAATTTTAAATTAGCGCTATTCATCACTATAAGGATGTTACATTTG